TTGCGTGTCCAATGATTGCTGGGATCTAACATTTCCCCCCTTAAGGTGGTTCGCTGTGGGTTCATTATTCTCGCTACCGCTTCGAAACTTCAAGTGCACAAATATCAGCTTCCACGACGCTTGCTGCGCTGCAGCATACATGTAGCAATTTCAGGTGAAATGGAACTCAAATTTCCGAGATTTGTGTAATTGAAAATTCGAGGTGGAAGTGCATTTATAGCCTACGTGGCGGCCATTTGTGGATTCTACAACGAATCACCTTAAGGTTTCATCATCCAATAGGGCTTGAACCGGGGTGGAAGTTGGATCATACGTCGCCCTCTTTCTAGGATTGGTGTAGCCGTTTGGACTGGTTCTTCTTCTTCAGTTGGCGTTGGTTCCTGTTCATCTTCGGATTCCTCATTATTGGTACCTTCATTTTCCGACAAGTCATCGGTCAGGTTGAAATCATCTAGATTGTTCGGAAATGGTTCTTCAAACTGCAGTGCTTCTTCATGCGATTGGAACCACAATTGGAGTTGTTAGTCCGAAGCCATCGAAGAATATCGAAAGCGGTGTCGGATGAACTGTTGGACTGCTTTCTAGAACACGAGTCTTCCCGCTGGTTGATCTTTAAGGAACACATTGTAGTTGACGGTATCTATCTTCTCGATTACTGTTGTTTATTCCCACTGCCAAGATTTCGCTCGATGTATCTTGACTCTCTGGACTGCGCCGTCTTCTTGGTTGAAAGAGTCATTCTGTATCTTCCTGCCTCTGGATATGGTGCCACGTTCGGTCGGTTTGAACATTGATGATATGGTACGAAGTGGTCTTGCAAACATCATCTCTGCTGGAGATTTGCCATCCATATCGCCATTTGGTGTAGAGCGATATACTTGCAGGAAAGTTTTTAGTGCTTCCTCAAGCGTTTCTCCTCCAGAACGAATTTTCCGGAGGCTTTTCTTCAATGTGGCTAGGAAGCTTTTGGCAGACCCGTTTGATTGTGGATGATACGGAGCAATTCGAATATGGCGCACTGGTGCAGAAATCTTGGAATTCATGACTTGAAAACTGTTGTTGCGAAGGATTGATTCAGCAGCTCCCTGAACTACTGTAAATTGTTCAACGTCACTTTTTCGTGCAATGAACTACCGTGAACCCCCTGTAATCTAACCGTTTTTAATCACTTTTTAATTTTAACCCCCCTAATCTGTACAAACCTGGTGTGGAATTGATGGGCTGTAGGGAAGAGCGCTACTTCGTCGTAATCGCCCATTTCCGTTCTATCGAGCAGAAATCATCAATAATATCAATGATTTCACCATGCACAAAACAATAATACGTTTGTTCCGATGCGTTAGTTCATTAGCTACGACATAAACCCTATTAGAGCGCATTGTATGCATATTTACGCTCATTGTTCTCAAAACAAAAGAAGCGCTCCTAGCGCATCCCCTTTTTCTCCGTTTATCCGTAGGACGAAGAAAATCTAATGGCGTTTCAATGCGTTTGGACGGAATTGAAACGCGTAGGACGAATTTAGAAGCAAAAAGCAGTGTTAGATTTGTAATAATATCTCAAAATTGTTTGAATCTTTATCAAATCCAACGGTACGTATGGAAAGGTGGATACATTTAGAAGTTATCTTTGATGAAAACATTCCATGTTTTGTTCAAACGCTTTCCAAAAAGCGTGGTAAAGTGCGGGATGTCCTTAGTAGGACGGAAATTAGATCAAAAACCCTATGTATTGTACGATTCAGTTCTTTCGTACACTGAAAAAAGTTTTCATATAGTTTCCATTGGGAACGCACATGATATTTTTCCAATGACAAATTTAATTATTTTTATCTGAAATTCACATAACATTCACATGATCACATGAATTCTATGTGATAAATCACATAAACTTCATTGGACACATAAGGTTCATGTGATTTCGTGGTGCGATTCCCAATAATGAGATCACATGAAAGTTATGTGAAATTCTAATGGATATTTTCCATCGGAAATGTGATTTATTTTTTAAGTGTACGCTCAAGCACGCTCGTAGTGACGTCATAACGTTTGTTTCAATCCGCGTTTTGATAAAAAAATTAATATCAAGAGCAAATTTTCATTACGTCGAAACCCTAATAAAAATTACCATAAACGAACGATAACCTAAATAATAGAACTATTTCACAAATGATTTGGATGATACCCAGAATACGTCGTTAAACAAAATAACCATAACAATTTTATTAGGGAAGTAACAAAGGTAAACAAAGTCGAGCTATCAGTGTCAATCGACACAATATACTGTCCGAATATAGGATCACATCCCATTTTTAAATTTATTTACCAGTCAAATTGCTTTTTGACGTAATCACCTTCCGATCAAAGTATTTTTCGATGTTACTTAAGTCACCTGATTTCTATGGAGATGCCGTTTGTCTTAAGTAACAGCGCAGATAAACCCGTGAAAAGTGTACGTACGTCGTTTTGCTTTCTCATCATTAAAGTGAATAAATCAAACTGTTTGTTGCTAAGATGATTTCGGTGGTCCTAAAATGATGAATGGGCTGCACGTGAGGAGACGTGATTGATAATTCTACCGAATATCCTGATAAATACACTTTGACTTAAGTAATCAGTGCGCAAAACAGTCAGGTTCATCGAGTCATTTTGATATGAATATGAACTGCCGTCTGCCTCATCATTCACTGCCTCGTGAGAGTCTGAATGATTCAGAGGTAAACGAGTCACTGACAGCCGAGCACTTAGTCAGTAGCTCAGTCAACACGTTTATTCTGCCATTAGGGGGTCACCAAACGACGTATAATAACTTTTGACTCAAAAACCAGTATTTTTAGCATGAAAGCTAGCGATCTGCTTTGTATCTCTCCCGCAATGTTTACCTTTTTCCCTCCACCAACACATACGTGAGGGTTGAATCTACACGCCATCCTAACTAAAAATGGCTCAAACTAAAAAGACTGAATTGGGTTGTTTAACGTCGAAAAATATACTGATTTTTATACATCATCTCATAGAGCTTCGTTTTCTGAGCACAACGATATTTTTATTGATCCCGTAGAAATTCATCTTGATTTTTAAATCAAGATTTAATTTTTTGATCGTTGACATTAAATCTGCTCGTTGACAGCTCGCTCCCATACAAAGTCCCACCAAGGGGCGCTAAGATGGTGATTTTTGCTAATGTAATCGTACTTATTCAAAATAGTTCCAGTGTACCAAAATTGATGAAATTTAGGATTTCGGTTCCATTTTTAATATCTGCATGCATTAATATCATTTACCTCAATACCCCTAAACAACCCAATTGGGTAAAGAGGCGACATATTGTCCATTTGACAGGTCTTCTGCTCGATTCGAATAACTTCTTGGAATAATCTGGCCACCCGGACGCCAGATTATTTTTCCATTATCGATAGCTTCTCAAAACTTTTATCGGTAGTTATAGGTAGGCCGTCTTAAGAAGGCTTTCCCGAAACTTGAAACCAAACAAAACATAGGTATTGCACATTTTTCAAGATTACTAAAAACCTGTGATTCCCGGTGGGAAAAGTGAAAAATCGGTAGTTTTTAACCTTTCGTCCGTGAATCGGTAGGCATCCCAAAAATCGGTAGGACTACCGATAAATCCGTAGGTCTGGCCACCCTAATGTCCTATGACTTGACAGATAATTGATTGAAATTCAGCCTCTTTAGCGCATTCAGATAGATTCAGATCATGGACTCTAGGTCTGTGCCATAAAAAGGGAGATCATGGAATGGAGTAAAGCGAAATGGAACATTGTGAAACGGAACGCATAATCAAAACAAAACAATAAATAAGGCTACCAAAAACACGCTTTTCTGATGATTTTGGGGTTACTAGAAGCTCAAATTAAGGTATTACATATCAAGAGCCACATGTAAAAGGGCATACAAGCTTTTTGTAAATAAACCTTTGTAGGCCCTCTTCTCGCCAACCGAGCGTCGCCCATGCAAACTAACAACATCATCGGGAAGGGGAAATATTGATGGTTTGCGCTGGTGTCATATGGGTGGCGAGGAAAAGGCATAATAATGTTTGTTTACAAAAAGCTTGTATGTCCTTTTCACATGTTGTTCTTGATATATTGAAATGATTGATTATGGGTAAAATTATATTGAGCACAACGTTTCGAAATGATCTCCATTGGGACCAAAATGACAGATCGTAACACAAATGCTAGCACATATGCCTCCTTTTCCATAATGGAAATTTTCAAAAGAAAATGTCATTCATGGCGGTGAGCTCCATCCCGGATTAACTTTTAATACCGACCCTGATTGATTCATCTGCAAAATGTTTGCTTAGAATCGTGTTGATTAATTCCGATGTTGACATCATAGCAGCCGGACATTTTTAACGGGGTTTAATCCGAGAATAATGCCGGATGGAGCTTACCAACCATCAAAGTTATTCAGGGATGGCTCGCTCTTTTAGGACTTTTTCATTACTTTTTAATATAGACTGCTTACGTTAAATCCAATTGAATTTTCAGTTAACCCATCTTAAAATAGATAGTTTAATGCTATTAATCTCTCTATCAAAATTCAAAATTTTCTCACCGCAGAGCCACACTTTGCGTTTTAACTAAAGATGCACTTGACAGCTAGGTTAACTGAAAATTCAATCGAATTTAACGTAACAAAAAGAGTGATCCATAACTGGTTATTATTAAACTTAAGATCGAGCTTATTCAACTAAAATGAATATTAAATTAGCCCTGTAAATGAACTTTACGTGACTCACAAACGGTTCCAACGAAGTCAACCAGTCCAACGATTACGCCAGACGGCTACTCATTCCTCGATTTCACTCTTATCAACGAATAAGAAGAAAAAAAAAATGCTTTCTTATCGAGACCATATAAAACCACCTTGCCAGATAACATTATTTACATCACTAGCATCTTGATCGGCCAGGAACGAAGAACGGCTTATGACCAAACCACTTTTGTTTTCCTTTTTTTCTTCTCCGAACAGATACCGAAAGTCGAACAGTGAACCTTCCAACGATCTCCGCGACGGCCATCACCACCCATTGGTTTGAGTGAGTGTAGCCGAGAAGCCTTCCGAACAGTCCAATCAAATCTAAAGAAAAGAAAAGACAAAAAAAAGTGTCGATACCAGCCATCAAGGGACTACAATCCCGCCGCACCGTACTTCCCTCTTTTTTTTCTCCCCTTGAAACGGGACGCCCGCGCGCGGCACGCTGACCAAACACTGGCAAAGCTGGCGGGCAACTCGCGAGGGCTGTGGCAGCTGAAGCAGGAGGCGATGGACAATATGGTCGAGGAGAATGGATCCTCCTCGATGGACCCGCTGGCCTCGGGCGGTTCGTCCGATCAGCAGCATCACAACAGCAGTTCCGGACCGGCTGGTGGCGGAGGTTCCCGAGTCAACAGTGGTGGTGGGCCCAGTTGTGGCGAAAACCTCACCTCGTCGGCAAACGTTGTACAAATTCTCCCGTCATCGCATACCAGCAGCGGCAGCATGCAGGTGAGTTACGGTGTTACATTTATCTATACTGAAGCAGGACCGTCGTGGTGTAGTGTAGAAGGTTTGATGCGGGAGAAATGTGAGCAGGGCATGAATATTGCTAATCCAGGGATAAGTGGCCAAGGTGTTTGACAATATATGAGTTGTTTAGAGAGCACGCTGTTCTCTTGATTGTAACTCGAGATAAATACCTCTCAGACGTTCAGTTTCATGAGTACATTATGGACAACAGAATCTTCGCTGAACATTTCAAGTCATATGGTACAATAGTTAAAAAGTTACAACTGGTTTTTTGGGTGTTGAATTTTTCATCACGGGCAGCCTTTATACACTCCTTTGCAAATTATACTCAGGCTGTGAACCATTTGTCGAGTTAAATTTAACTCGTGGTTAAGAGTGACATTTCGAAAATTATTTTCCATGTTCTAAAATCCCTGTGTTATCGATCGATCGGTTTTAAAGCAGAACTCAGCCATGGTTGTCAAAGTTTAACTTCTTGTCTGTCAGAAATAACCACGCTCGGGTAGCAGGATTAATCGATAACTTTCCAGCTGTCAAATTTTAACCAAAAGTTGAAAAAATCCGCCAATGGTTCACAGCCTCGGTGACTGAGTAGAATTGTAGTGCCCTCTCTTTTTATCGCACGGAAATGTTACTCAGTTACAGTTCAAAACATGATAGGTACAGCATGGTGATGTAGGTTTGTCACTATATGGCTGAGAAATTGGGGGGGGGGGGGGGTCAGTGTGGTTTTAGAGCAAATTGTAAACAAACTTGGTCGCTCCTCCATACAAAAATCTTCTCATTAGAACATCTATATATACTCACCTTGGTTCAAAAGGGAGTTTACTTAGTGACTGAGTAAGTTCCCTTTTGAACTGCAACTGAGTTAAATTTCCGTGATTGAAAAGACAGGGCACTGAAATTCTACTCAGCCACTGAGTATAATTGAACTAGAGTGTAGCAAATATGAATTACACTCAGAAAAGTGGACACTTGACAATCGTAACTTTTGTCTTATTCTCTTTATGGATAAAGATTAGAAAATATTTAACAGTTCTTAAGCTGTTATTATGAAAAGGAAATCATATGCAATCTTATGAGAATTTAACATGTTGAACTAACCTGGAATTCAACCATTAACGTTGAGACTATTGATTGTGCAAATAGCACTCACATCGCTTCGGATCTTTTGGCTCGTGAAGGTACCAACGCGTTCAAACGTTGATTTCTTACGAACAGATCGCTCCAGTCTCAGCCCCCTTTTATGACTCAACCGCACAGTCAGGAGGGTCGACATCATTGTGCAAGCATTTTTGATAAACTATAATAATCGCAGCATGTATGCATACATATATGTACGTAGTCGGCATTTATGACCGTACTGCCTCCTAAACATATGATGATGATGATGACACATTGATACGGGTGACATCATCGTTGAGCTTACCGCCAAAAAATACAAACTGAAGAAACAAAAAAATCATTTCGAAAAAGCGTTGCGTCTGGACGGAGGAAAGCCTTTGCCTTTCTGTTTTCGGTTAGGCAGGTAAATACAACAAATATAATCGCACGTGTGCGAGGTGGAGGGGTGGCCTGAGTGAGTGGAGCAACAAAACCCCATGTCGAGTCACACTAAACGTCTGTTGGCTACTTGGATACCTACCTACCTACTTCGATCTAGTGTATAGCAACGGCACGGCAGACTGGATGGGGAGAGAAAACCAGAAACGATACCCTGATGTTGTTGGCGAATGACGTCATTCCAGAGCAGCGCGGCTGACGCGATTTGCGGACATGGTACAGCATGGAAGGGAAAAAACGTTTTGCATATTTTATATTTCTTTTATAGTTGTTTATATTTATATTTGCCGATTCCGTTTCGGGTCAATACCTAAGCGATTTTGTTCTTTCTCTCCTCTAGTGCTGGGCCGGGCACTGATTGGCTTCTTTTTCTCAGCTTTTCCTAATTTTTACTCTCGCCAAACCATCTCACCTCACTTTGCACTATCATAAACATAGCAATAATTGAACTAATTTTGAATGGATGTACATTAGCAGTTGGTTTCTAATTGATTCTAATTTCTCCTTGCGCTGGTTGGGCGAGCAGCAATCAATACGAAAATGAATAAAGTACACAAATCCTCTGATTACAAATACCTGTTGTATGTGGGAATTTCGGGGAAATTTTGCAAAGTTTATTGCTCTTCTATTTCGATCGATTCATAAGCGATCGATTTGGATGCCTTTGCTTCGCTTCTGATGCTAACAATTATTTTCTAATTAAAACCGAGTTAAGACGAGGCAAGTGAGTTGAATTCAACTCACTTCGATCTGGCAGTAGACGTTCAATTGACTTGACATCAAATAGAACAAGTCTGACATCGACCAGCTTTCTGGACGTTCATTTCGCAATTCAAGTGAGTTGAACGATGAATATTGAATAATCTAATCCATGCAAGGTGACTACATATAGGTGTTCTAATGTGTCAAATTCATGATTCAGCCATGTTGGATTTTTGTATGGGACAGCGACCGAGTTTGTCTTCAATTTGCTCTAAAACCGCACTTATCCCCCCCGCGACCTCCTCGCCTATATAGTGACAAAGCTGTATCACCATGTACCCACCATGATTTAACCTAAGAGGAAGAGGAGACAACTGGCTTCTTACTCTTTTTATCTCTATCTCTATCTATATCTACCTCTATCTTACGCACTTCAAATCGGCCAATCACGAGCTGGTTCGTGTTTGGCAGAAAAGGGGTTCGTATACGCCTTTTTAATAGAAACTAAATGATCGATTCAGCCTCTGGTGGTGAATAAGAGAACTTCAAAAAGAGTGTTGTGAGCAGAAATTTCTGCCGTGAGACATTGGAAGCGGAACACTTTTTCACTATTCCTGATAATTTGATTCATCTGAGATGCTCCAAAGCTTTATCTACAGTTGAAAAATTTAATTCTGTATCGTTTTTGAAAGGAACCTGCTGGTGTTCACGAATATTTTTGTTGAGAAAAATGGAAAATTAGGATAATGCCTTGTAGTTATGATCTTCCGGATTTCTTGTGCGTGAATAGTTGAGATACAAATCAGTTCAAATCTTTGGAAAATCGTAAAATAAGACAATTACTGATGGAAATTGGCAAGATGTTTAATGAAAAATGCTTTAATTTGCGTTGTGAAAAATCCTTATACTGATGTAAACAAACAGTTTGGTTGACATTTCCTCTCGAACTCGCATGGCGCACTCTACGTTGGTGCTGCATTAAAAGGGCCTATTGTCTCCTCTTCCTCTTAGAGTTTAACCTGTCAGCTGGGTAATATTACATTCAAAGTGTTTTTATGTTACTTCATACGCGAAGTTAGCGATTTTGAATGTAACAACTCAAGGCGGGAGTAGCCGTCAACAATGCTGATGATGGTACATCACGCAACAACCACCCTACTGCCTTCTCTCTGAGATGACCAAGTTGGTCATGACGAGAGGAGCAACACAATACTTGGGTAAAGAAGAATTGCATTATAACACACCATCGACTGGAAATGCTCTCGCAACGTGGGGCTTTAGGTAGTGATGAAAACGTCGCTAGAACTATTCCACAGCCGCTGTCAGTGTATGAGCAAAAGAAGGACGCACATTTTTTGCCTGTAGACTTGGAGACATACTTCAAGTCTCCGCGTACATCGTACGGGTTAGGCAAAAGATGTGCGTCTAACTTTAAAAACTGTCGCATTAATGGCCCTTCGCTCATTTTCAACTTCTATTAAATGTTCATACTGCCGTACTCTAACGGAACTATCCACCTACCCTCTTCTAAAGATCATTATCTAGCTAATAAATTATCACACTAAAGCTTCATGTTAGCATTTCCAACCAACTCTGGGTGATATTATTTAAATATACCTGAACATTATATAGCAGTACACGGTCCCTAACCTCACTTTTTGGTTTCAATCATTTTGTCTCTGAGTAAAAGATTGGCAACGAATGAGAGCCAAAACAAACCACCCAAAACTGTCAAAATTTACGGGTGAGAGAAGAGTGCACTGATCTATCGAGTAATCTTGCTGTGCGAGGTGCGATAATTTTCAATGTATAAATTACAACTCTGTTTGTAGACGGTGTCAATTCTCTCGCAACACGAGAAAAGGGCCTATCATTGTTGATCGATTCTCTTCATCGATTTTCTCTTTCGCGAATAACCCGGCGGCAAATGAATTTCCCATTCTTTGTGTTGTTTCAGGCGCAAGCTAGCATCATCTTCTGTCGACCTGTGCTGGGAGCTTAGCGAGAAATTCGTTTATGTTGCCGTGATAAACCGAAGAGAATCGATCAACGAGGACAGGCCCTTTTCAAATGTTACGCGAGAATTACCTCTTTCAATTTGGTTTCCATTTCTTTCTGCACGGCCAATGATATCAACCCAAATTTGAGTTCAGTTTACTTATAAATTGCACAAAGTGCAGGTACTTAGCGATGAGTAAATTTGCCTCATGTTTTTCCAGGTTTTCCAGAAAAAAAATCCCGAATATGAGAAAAGTAAAGATTGGATTCTCTCAGTCCATTGGCACTACTCCTAGATTGAGCAAAATTTTAGTAAATTTTCCTCATTTTTCCGGCTGATTTTTGAGGTTTGCCACAGGAAAACAGACAAATTTACTCATCGCTGAGTTCCTACACTTTTTGCGATTATGAGTAAACTGAACTCAAATTTGGGTTGATCTCATTGTTCGTGTGGTTATTCGGCTTTGCTTGTTGAAATTGCTGCTGGTTAGCTGAACATTGCATTAGGTCCTAAGTAATATTTATTGATTCTCTTCATCGGCTTTCTCTTTCGTTTATAACTTGAGCACATAACCGTTTCTTGACCTGGTTGACGTATTAGATGCTACTTAAAAGCTTCTTTTATCGATCTGTGAGCTGAAAATAAGTGGGAATGTCTTTACATGGCTGTGGGGATGCAAAGAAAAAGTCGACGAAGATAATCTGTCAATTTTACT